TTTAAACAGTAGCACAGAAAAGTGCTGTTCAGTAGCTTTCGTTTGAATGGTCACACTTTAGGGTTTTTATCCACAGACTCATCTTGTTCGGCATGATAAAAAGTACCACAGGAAAGTACTGCTCACTAGCTTTCATTTGAGTGGTCACACTTTAGGATTTCATCCACAGACTCAAAAGTTACAACCATCTTGTACCGAAAGAGTACTGCTCAGTGGCACTGTTTTTCACACTTAAGGAGTTCATCCTCTGACTTGAAAAATTGAAATCGCCTTGTAGGTCTCTTGATTTGGCGTAGGACACGACATTTAGTTTTCCTAACTAACGCAGAGTGTATAGTGCTAATTTAACTGTTTTTGTGATCAGATTGCCTCCGTGTTAAGGATTGAAGCCTTCGCGTTAACTAGTGATGACGGCTTTCCCCTGGATGTCCATGCAGAGATTGGAGAAGAAGAACAATCTGTAAGGGTTGTCCGTGCGCATGACACAGACCGCTGGGAGCCTTACCGCTGGAGAGTTGATGTTCACGGGCTCGTAGAACAATGGACTAATTTTTGAGTCCAGCACGTACCCAGTCAATGTTGTCGTGTGCGCGCGTTCGCCTTAATATAACGTACCAAAAAAAATACTTCTAATACTTGTCATTTTTCCTGTAACGCCAGTCGCCATTGTTGAATAGGGAGTTTGAGCAACAACGACGGGGACCGTTACGAAAACGTCACTTAAAAAGTGAAGTCGCGCTGCTTCAAACTGTATCGCGCTTATATCCATCTCCATCATTTAGTCAAATGCTGGCAATTTTTTGTGGAGTTGAATTCTAAAAGACTGTATCGAAGTTCAGGAAAGGAAAAAGGAAGTCGTTGTCTTGTGTTCGCGTCATCCACAAAACGTGAAATTAGGCAGTTTCACGTCGTAGTCGTGCGGTGACGGCAAAGAAATGTACAAAAAAGCGTGATGTACGTGCAAAGTTGTTGTTTTGCTGATCTAAACCTTTTGCTTTTTTGCCGTTCTCGTTGACGTCGTCGTTGTTGCTTAAGCTTCGTATTAACGAATAACCAAGATTTTTATCCTAAAAAAAGAACCACGTTTTCATTGCTGCAATTTCGAAGATGCAGCATGACACATTGCATCATTTTCCAGTTATATCATTGTGCTAGTGATGAAAGTCTCAGTTAATTGTCATATAATTAGTGAGTCATATATAGTATATTTTTTTGTTTTAGGCGTTAAAGTGTATTTTTAATAAGGTAGTCAATTAGGTAGATACATATTATAGTTTGAACTTCAAAAGTTGTAAAAAAATAATATTAATACTAGCTGTTTCATAAATTATTTCCTAAAAATTTAAACTAGTTTCATAGTCTATAGTAATGAGATGTCAAACATCATTTTTACTCACATAAGGTAAAAGGTAGTTTTATTAAATGTGACTTTCGTGTAAGACCTACCGTATAGATGATACATATAGTTTTAACTTCAAAAGTTGTAAAAGAATAGTATTAATACTAGCTGTTTCATAAATTATCACCTAAAAATTAAAACTAGTTTCATAGTCTGTATATAGTAATGAGATGCCAAACATCATTTTTACTCACTCAAGGTAAAAGGTAGTTTTATTATTTTGTAACCGTGTGTTGCTTTTGATATAATTGAAAGCGTCTAGATTGAGTTTGAAGTATTTTGTCATTTATAATCGTATGACTATGTTAATTAAAAAGAACGTTAAATGTAGCTTTCGTTTAAGACCTACCGTTGTTCTTCATTTTCTTGAGTACTAGGCGATATAAATTGGTGAACAAAACCGTCGAATTGTTTCAGTTATTGTTGTTACGGTTTCCAAGGCGTAAATCTTTGTTGATTGTAAGATTTACTATCTTCACTTTACAATCATTTTAGGGGCTGGCTAACTTGTCTCCATTGGAAGGGAGCGCGGTGCACTTTCTATAACCGGGACTAACCCACGATCTTGTAAAGTAGTGAGCCTAAGTTTTAGCAGCCACGAACACGGCTGTTTTTTTTTTTGTTGGGTGTCGTCAACTCGGGTGTAGTGCAAATATATTTGAAGTTTACACAATGAATGTGATCAGACAAGTTCCAAACAAATCAGGGGATTCAGCTTTCCCTCTTGCTTAATGGAGAGGGTGTCATTTATGGCAAATTGATCAGCCCTATTAGGAAGTGGAGTTTCGCATGGCATGGATTTTTGGTCTGGTCAAGGTTAGGTTAGCAAAATTGCTGTTCAACATGGGCTGGTATAAACCACGGGTCACGGCCTGACTCGTCCACATTGGTCTCTCACTATCTCTCCCTAGTGGCGCGCAGGGTGTGATGGGAAGGAGAGAAGAGAAGGAGACTTTTCCCTTCCCATCACCCCCTGCTCCCGCCGCGCGCGTTACGCGAAGACGACTGGGGACGAGTCAGGGTCCTAGCGGCACGGGGGGGCCAGCGGCACGACCAAGGCCCGGCAGGTACACTTGAAGATTTTAATCCTTGATTTTTTACTTGCTTCTTCGCAAAATTGTCAAACAACATGCAGACCCGTAAAGTGTGACAAAATTTGGTGTTCAAAAACCGATTGTTTTAAATCTGCAATCAATTCACGCAAGAGAATTATCTCTTGGTTCACGACTAGATTACCAATCCCGCCCCCTAAAATAGCAAGAAATTTAACGTGCAGAAATAGCTGAAATAGTAAATGTCATTTTATTGATCTTTTTTTACTGGATACTACAACATATTTGTGATACATTTTAAGCTGGCAAATTACAAATAGCTTTTTGACTGTGCGAGTTGGGTGCCAGTTCTGATTTGCAGATACTCTGTGACTGCTACACGCAGTAACATCAAACGGGTATGTTAGGAATAACCGCTCGTCTCTGTCTCGAGTCAGCGGTAAAAAGGAAATCCAAAAATATCTGGGATTTCGCTTTCGATAGCAAATCGGCGGATTTAAAATCTAAATCCAGATTTCCCAATCGAATGCACCCTGAATGTTGGATTAAGATACCATAAACCCGAGGGCAAGCAGCTCACAACACTCGTTCCAACGGTAGAGCGGCTTATCAAGAGGGAATTCAAAAGAAAGGAAAAGAAATGCTTCAGACCTCCTTTTCAAGAGAAACGCCGACGTCAGCACAATCGTTAATTACGTCACGTCCAAGAGCCCGGTCATACGCATCCCGAAAAAGAAAACTGATGGAAAAAGTTTAAAATCAAGCGTTTCGCTAGCGGTTGTGATGGAATCTGAGACTCCAGAAGCGTAAAAGGGAAAGACAAATTATTGACAGATCCTTTGACGGCAGTTTTGGCGAGTTTGAACCATTTTTATGGGATTTATGGAGCTTTGAGCTGGAACGGTCGGCTTCAGAGTCCTCAGCCTTCCCATTTTTCTTGCTGTTAGTACAACTCAAAATCTTAAACGTCGATAAAACGGTTTCCAAATGGCTCTAGAGGCGAAGAGACAGTAAATACCAAAACACAAACACAAGGTAAGTCATTTTTATTTCTATTTTTGTCCAAAATTTGAATTTAGGACGTATTTTCTTTATTTTCATACATTCTCTTGTAAATTCAAAGTCCAACGGACTCCCACAGAGTTTGGGCTGCCTGTGATGAAACAGAAAAGTGGCGACGCATAACGAAAGAAAGGTCACACGGTCAAATCATTCTCTGCTCCTAATGAAAGATGAGAAATCACGCAAAGATCTACTTTACCTCCATATCTCATCCTTAAAGCGGCGAAAATTTCTCCGAAACTTTAAGGGTCTTAAAGCAAAATTCACGTTCTCATCACACAGACCGGAAACAATGACCCCGAAATAAGCGCAAGGCATGCTGGGAAGATAGTAATATCCTTCTTAATTAGCGGGGAAAAGCCAAAATGAGGATATGAACGTCGCAAGGGTTGCTGTTTTGTTCATACTCCAAGTACGGCGGAGACTGGTGAAGGTGCGGGACTTCTCTACAAGCAAGACATTTGTACTTAGACACGAATGTGCCAGATTCTTTCATCATCATTTGAATGTATGGACGTTAAATTTAGATATATATAAATGGTAAATCCTTCCTAGCTTTACAGAAGCGATATACTTCAGCAACAAAGTATACAAGACGATCGATATGAAGCGAGTCTATTAAAATCAAATGCATCTGCGGGAAACAAACTTGCAAAGTGAGTCTACGGTCTATGCAGGGGCACCCAACGAGCGGTTTCCTCCAACTGAAATACTGAAAACACTTTTTAGGCTATAAAGAGTATGTACTTTAAGGATCTCCAGAAATGCATTCTAGGTGGCGCTATAAAATTTGTACCTGTTGTCCCATCCTTGGGGAACTTAAGTCTTTTCGAAATTACAAGAACTTCAGCATTATTTTTCCGCCGGAAAATTTGTGATGCAATTTAATGTATTACGAAAGTGAGAATTTTGCCGCTGATTCCTCTTTCCATCAAAGTTTTTAATCCAAACATTTTAGGCTTCCTTTTTTGTACGGACAATAGCCTAACCTGGGCAGTGACAATATATGCTTCTCCACACAGAAATTTTACAGAAAACAGTCGTCGGGTTGGCCTGTCTATGTGATTGTAGTAAGTTTGTATATAAAGTAAGCTGATGCTGATCATGAAAGTGTTTTTCATATATATACTTTGCCTGGCTTCTCGTGAAGAAACGACATTTGGTTGTTTCAGTGAGATGCGCATTTCAAAGTTGAATTTCTCTTCCTTATTCCTGTTCTAGATCTCTTTGACTTGTTAAATGTGTAATGTGATGATGCTGTTCTTCGTCCCATATCGGAGAGGTTTGGAGTGTTTTAATCCGTTACGGTGATCCAATTTTTCTCTTAATTTCCTTCCCGGAGCCTGGTATTAAGGTCAACCTTAGAAGTTTCCCCGGAATTTCCTCAGCTGTTTCCCGAAGAGAGCTTGCGTGTAATCACCGGCAAACCACAACTTTTTCTGCTACTGTGAAAACGTCAACTCCGCGTTTTCCACTCTATTTAGCTCTCAAGTCAGTCCTCTAATTTCTCTTACTCCTAAGTTGGTAAGGCTTAGCGCTGCAAGAGGAGAGTTATCAGACCGGGGTAGACAGCGGTTCTTTTTCCCATTTTTACATATTTTGCACTTGTTCCTAATCATCCCTCTGAAGGCCTTCTTGAACCTGGGAGTACGAAAACTGTATAGTAGAGGGTTAATAGTGGAGTTGAAGTATCCCATCATAAGAAAAATGTCGAAGACTTGATAGGGGATCTTAAAGTAACAGGCTTTGCAAACAGTCACAGTCATGCTTAATAGCGTATATGGGAGCCAACAGAAAGCGAACGCAAACACAATCATGAAGGTGGTTTTGGCGGCCATATTGTTTCTCAATGTATCTTTTTGCTGTGATATGGCTGTCGCAGATCTTCTATCTTGCGCTTGGTTACAATTGAAGGGGTTTTGCCCTAAAGGTGATGCGAAAGAATGTCCCTGTTCTTCGAATGTGGTTTCCTCTTCCGTGTTCTCCAAGTCAGTCGGCCCTATATTTATTGATAAACATAGGTTACGTTACGAGAGCAAGTAGCATGCATTGCTCTTCGTCCTCTTCTAGATCAAAGGATGGACCATAACCTTCTTTTTGGGGGGGTGGGGTGGGGGGTGGTTAGAAATACAAAAATGGATCCAATTGATGATATATCAGTAAAATTGTAAAACTGTTCCTTCAAAAACTGAATTGGCCGTTAACGGGGTATTAAGGTTTCTTTCCCCTCTACAGTTTAAGTTAAGTTGAAAACATCTTGACCTAAGTCCGTCGAGGGAGACTGTATAAAGTAAACTGTCTCCTGTCTAAAAAATCTTAAAAGACAGCACGAAAAACTGAGAGTGGCTGAATAAAATAAAGGATGAATCGCGAAAAAAAATTCTCCGGGAAACAACGAATGGTTCCGTCCGAAATGAGGTCTAGGCATTAAATCAGCCACTTTTTAGCTAATGAACACGCGCAACACTCAGCCAATAAAAAGCAGAAGCAAAACAATTGTTACTCGTTTGTGACTTTTCTTTGCGCGCTTACCCCGCCCCGTCCCCCCACTATGCTTTTAGTTTTAAGTTTTTCATTGGAGGGAAATTTGTGAGTTTCGCTGATTGGCCAGAGTGCTTGCACTTATTGGGTCAGTTTGATGAAACAATATTCAATTAAAATTCACTTGCTAGTTTGAGTGCTATCATGTCATGCCAAGAGAGAATACTGGTCATGCTGAATCGACGAAAATCATGGTTTTGGATCCAGTTTTTTCATGTCTCAGTTTTTTGAAGGAATGAAATTCTGCAAGCCTTGTGACTATTGCGGCTGCTTAGTGGCAATTGCAAATAACTGACCGATGCAAAATCAGCAAAATGTTCATTTGAATTTAAACTACAAACTTACCTATTTTGTCAGCACCAAATTGTCGTTGTTCAAATCTTACGGTCTTTGGAAACGAAACGTAGGACTTGATGGCGATGCAGTATATTTTGTAGTGAATCAGGCAAGATGACAAGACCGGGATCAGAAAATTTATTATGTTACTCACAAATGAATATATCCAAGAAAATGTGAAATAACAAAATCCATTTTTGACTCTCGTTTGTTCCCCGATAGCTTTCGACGTGAAGACTGGGGTGAGCGCGAAAAGCATTGAGTAAATCCAAAGGAGAATGGTGATGGCCATGACACGTCGCTTGGTTATCAGTGGTGATAGCTTTAGATGATCGAGGGGGTTCTTAAGTTTAATGTATCTGTAAACAATCAAAGCCAAAAGGCTAAGAATAGATGTAGGAACCGTGAGAAGGTATGCAGTGGTGAAAACATTACACATGATTTCTCCATGTCTCCATTCAGTGCTGTCTGAAACGATGAGTTCCAGATCAAAGGGTATGACCAAACAGGTGGTTAAGAGATCGGAAACTGCGACAGATAATACGAAGCACGCGTCATTGGATTGCCGCAGAGTCCTGCTGCTTAGTATGACCAAACAAACCAAGATGTTTGCCAGTAGAGACACAACAATGATAAGACCCAGAAGGGCTGAGAGCACGATTTTATATTCCATCTTGTGGAACGAAATATTGGGAGTGGCGGTTAAATTACTTTCTCCTGAGTCATTCGTGGTAGCCCTACAATAAATGAAGAGATGTTAACTCGAGTATTGCGCTAGTTAATCGCTAGTTATGGCCAAGAGGGACGCTTTTCGGGTCCTTTTTTTCCAGACTACCGACCGGCAAATTTGAAAAAGCTCGAAGGAGGCCGGAATAAAGTCTTTTCATGGGGATTTAGGGCGTTTTTGGCTCTTGCGATCGATGTACGATCGCGTATCAACTCGTCAGTTTTGTTCTATTTACCTACACTATTGAGTTTTCATATAAGGACTGTGGCTTATCGATACAAAATTGTGAGGTTGTTTGTTGGGTTCTCTGTATTGCTAGGATTCGTTACGTTTAATTTCGTCAAATTTGACCTTAAAATGCAATACTGACGTATTTGTTTATCCACTTGGGGATAAAGATGAAGAAAATAAGACAATCGTCTTTTCATTATCCCCAATGGCAAACTGCCCGTACGAGTGTGATGCGGCAAATCAAACAAGCTTGAATAAATTAGCTAATACAAGGGTTTTTGTTTCAGCTGAAAATGGATCGGTTGAAGTACTGGAGTTGGTGGCTTTATTTCTCCTCAAGACGGGAACCTTCGGTGCTGAAAACTGGTAGGCGATTTCCCTAGATGCTATATCTTGCTTTGTTGAGATTTTTTCGAAAAGAGAAGGGCAAATACACAGTAACTTCGATAAACAGATGTTCTTTAATCTTACCCCGCATTCAGCATAAAGTTTTTCTTCTTGTATTGTAAATTGTATCCGCCGTAGGTCTCTGATTACACTCTTTTTTTCCTATAAGAATATATTTTATAAGAATATCGAGGCTGAAATTTGCGAAATCTCAAGAATACTTTAAGAATAAACTCCAGGCTGAGATTTTGAAAAGGATAATTTCGTGTGGTGAAAATCTGTAAATACAATACAAATATACGTTTTCAATTTATTCCTTTCTTTAAACGGCAAAACTAGCTAACTATATTTAACAAAACTATAATTGATACCTAAAACGGAAATGTCATAAGCTATTATTAAGAATAATACAAGAATATTTACAGCCTAAAATCGGCGAAAAAATAAGAATATTCAGCCTGGCCCGGGAAAACAATATTCTTATAAAAAAAAAAGAGTGTACTCAGTTTCTTACACCTGAAGCTTTGGGCAAGAATACTCTTGCAGATAGGAGACAGTCCGTCGGCAGTTTTCCTCTATTTGTTACATTTTAAGGCTAAATTAGACCAGCTGTTTGTGCAGCGAGTTCTACGGTCACGATTGACTTCAAACTTGCAGATAAAAAACTAGAGAACTTTGAGACTTATTTGCTGAAATTGGAGAAAAATCTATCTTTTTTAACTAGGGTTTTTATTGACATTTTTTTTGTAAAAATGCGGTTTTAAACGTATGCAGATATCTCAAACCTTTTTATAACTACAATAAGAAAAATACCATTTTCTTAAAGTTCGACTTAAAACGGCCAGAAATCATAGAAATCGGTTAAATCTTTCCTGCCGGAAAACGCGTTTCAAAAACATAACCAACGCGCATATAAATAGGTTTAATTCGGGCCAGCTTAACATTGTTGATGTTTTAACTAAAAGTACATACTCAAGGGAATTTCAGCCGCCTGAAATAACAGTGTGCTTACTTACCTTGCTTGGTCTCTTCTATCTGAAAGGGACAAAAAAATGTTTCTTTTCTCTCTAGGCCAACAGTATATGAAGAACAGGTGTAGCGGAAGCTATAGTAATTTATAGGCATTGGCACCAACACTTAAGTTTAAGGTTCTCCAAGTACACTAAGTAACCATGAAGCGTACTCATTTCGCGACATTTTAATTCTAATACACTTATTACATGCGGAGACGTTTAGGTTATCCGAGTGACACCTGCCCCTTAAACAACAGATCATTCGCGTTTAATTCCACAGGGCGCAGAGGAATTCTTTGTGACGGTAGGCGAAGCGAAAAGTTTACCGAGCCGATCGTACAATTCGCCTGTGTTTTCTGTATAATCAAACCGTCAGCGATCATGAAATTTAACTACAAAACATGTTATTCCTCCGCACTCTGTGTTAATTCTAATACACTTA